CCTTCTTCGAAAAGGACGAGCTAACTTCGTCTTGATCTTTTGATTTGGCAGTTGAATATTACTCATGTAACACGAAGAAGCTTTCCGGATACTAAACGAAGTATTTCCGAAACGGATTCTTCGCTTCTCTCTTCTGCTCTTCTCAATTTATTTCACTCCAAGAGAATTTTTGCATCAGTCATGTTCAAAGCCCCTCGAAATCCATACGCTTTGCTCGAACACGTAGAGTGCACGCGCATATCCTAGACGATCCTTTTCAAAATGCTAAGTGTGGTGTTCTGAGTTCCCACATAACTATAAGAGTGCACGGTAATCAGCAGGTGTCCCGTTAGTGGTCAACCACGCAGAACACTCGGTGCTACCAACAAATGCATACATTTGCTAGGGGATGTGCCCTTGAACTTGTCCGACGTTTGACAACAACGACGACGACGACGACCCTAGGAGACGTCTCTCTGATAGCACGAAGAAGGCACTAATACTATCCCCATGTGTGTACTCTTTTGTCATGTTCTTTTGCCCTTTTCGGGCGAAAACGTGCATAGGGAAATTGCTCAAGAATATTCAGTTCCCATGACCTCATTCTCCAACTCTTCCAACCTTGTACTGGCTGGGAGCTGTATTCAGTAAAGTACACCCGTGTCTAGATTTTTTTTGTTCCTAACGAGACCTCTGGTCAGTGGGGATGATCAGTCTTAAGTTGTAATTGTGCTAATGACTGTGTCAGGGACGATTTTTCTATTTCTTTTGCAACTTCCATGACGGAGTACATTCGAAGGACAAGGTAAGAATCAGATCAAATTCTTGACGAGTTTGAGGCGCTAAGATGTACGATGGGAATGTCTGGCAAAAACGAACACATTCTCGTATCTTCACATTTATCTATGTTTGGCTTCTCAGTATAAATATTGCTGATCCTTAGATTATTTAGCCACACAATAGCATTGTTGAAAAAAAAAGGAAAGTGCTAGTTTTTTGGCTAAAGATTTTTTCAAACTTCTAAGGGCAACTTGCCATCAATCTACCACTATGCAAATAACAAAGCTTACATTGAGGTGTAAGCGAAATGTTTTGATCTATGTATTTGGGAAGTACATTTTCTCTTCCCCACCCCATCTTCTACTGCTTACAGGACGAAAATTTTGTATTAATGGGAGAAATAAATGCACTATAATTATCCCAAACACTGAATATGTCTTTTGTTATACGGCAACAATCCTACCAGGTCTTCTTCTCTCTTCCCCCTGTATAGTGAATTGTTCTCACTGGAAAATACCTTCTTTAAGCATTTTGCAATTTTTTGCCAAATTTGTATTCTCTTGACATTACTTTTTTTATTGATTTTGATTACTTTCTTGACGCTGCAGTCCCTGCTAGTATAGACTAAAGGACGATTTTTTCAAATGAAAAATTCCGTCGAAGTAAGAATCAAAAAAATTGTACAACCCATAGGTGTACAAAAAATCAGCCTTTCTAATATTATGATGTACAGGCGAAGATGTAAAGAAATTTTTTTGCCTACATCTTACGTCATTTCGCCTTTCCTCTCATCGTTCCCTTTCCCCTTACTTTCTTCTTCTTTTTCCTCTTCTTTTATTCTCTCTTCTCATTCTTTCACATAGTCAGTTTATCAGAAACTTTATTTTTTCGATCCTTTCATTAAAAGTATGACATCTGAATTTCTGCAGACATGGAGACTATCGAAAAAGCGGAAAGGGGAGGAGAGATGAGCAATGGAGTAATTGACACCAAAATCTTCTTCATCGCGGGAAGGGGAGGGTTGTGTGTTTGAACTTTTTTATCGCCTTGTTCCAGCATACATGAGATGACCATCACAAAACGCACACTTACCAGTTTCGCCTCCTCTTTTCGATATTTGTAACACCTTCTTTGTGTGAATACCGAGCAATGACCGTCCTTTTGCACTCGGCAACAATTTTCAGAAAATTTCAGATTACGCCCATCGATCGTCCAGCGTCTCGAGAAACGAGAGTAACTCGTTCAAGGTTTACATTAATAAGTAATTAAATACACGAGATTTTCGTGTGTGTGGGGGAAGAGATTTCGAATTTGACCGCTTTGTCAAGTGATGCGAAATTCTTTTGCTATTTTCTAGGGTTTTATAGGATCAATACCAGGATTCGCGCATCTACAGTTCTATGGCAATACAAATCAGAGATATCTCAAAATTATGACGTCATGTTCAGCTGCGATTTTCAATTCCAGTAATCCTAAAATTCACAGTCATTTGCTTCAATTTTGTTGACCAGCTTTGTACATTTGGGTCTGGAAAAGAATTCCAGCCTGGGAAAGAGTTAAATGTCTACGCGACTGAGGTTTTTGGGCAGGAGTTATAAGGGGGGGGGGGGGTAAATAGAAGAGAAAATCACATAAAATTTTTGTTAAGGGTTTACAAGACGATTTAGGTTAATGGTTGGATTCCTATGTCGTAGTTGCCTTTTTTCTCAAAGAGTTTACCTTTTTTGGTGATTATCGTTCGCTTTGAGATCGCTTTTACCTGTCTCCTCCTACTCTCCTTCGCCCACCATAGGGCATTCAAAAAATCGTGACGATGGAGCGACCGCGCGCAACGCTTGTGCAGACAATTGACAGTTGCATTTTCTTGGTGTTCATCTCTATTTGGATGGTTTTTCTGCTTATATATGATAGTACTTAGAAAGTAAATGACTAAAAGCTGATGAGCTAACTAGGGAATGGTCAAAAATCGAAGTGGCAAATCCAAACAAGCTCCATAGCATTAAATGCAGCATACAACGCTGACTTCAAATCTGTATTCCGTATCTGCTTAGTTCCTTTGTGGACGAAGTTATGAGCCGATAAAGGTCACTATCTTGCTAAGAAATCATGCATATAAAGTGCAAATTTGGCAGTACAAAGCCATGTTTGGCTTAGTGCTGGGCTAAAACATGCAGCTAGGTTACTTTACACTTCTAAAGCCTAGAGGTGAGCTGGAATTGCATTAATGCGCTCAATTTTGCAATGTACGATTTTTTCGCAATAAAATGCCCATAGCGTCCACAAAAGCGTCAAGCACTTATGAATACAGCTTCGAAATCAGGCTCGAATACTGCATCGTATGGTAAGCAGCTTGCTTGGATTGACCACTTCGACTTCTGACCATTTCCTTGTAAGCGCTTCCGCTTTTTGTATGAGTGTCTTATTCTCCTGTGAGCCAAAGACCGCAGTCAAACGTCGTCACAATTTTGAGAATGACGTATATACGATATATATATATATATGTATATATACACACGTACGACCTATCTCCTCCCCCTTTCCTTCTCTCCCCCCCCACCCCCCACCCAGTAAACCTTGTATTTCACATCATCTTCGCGCCCTTGTCCCAGCACCTCAGCAACATCTTCATCTCTCTCTCCAATTTCAATCTGTAGTGGCCATTCATGCTCATCCGCCACACCATTAGTCCAGAGTTTTTCCCCGCTACCCATCCATAGCTGCTAATTCTCATCTCCAAAAGTACCGCCGTGGTACAAGGGGGCAGTTCGAGTCTCTGTCGGGGTCGGGTAGGTCGTCGTCGTCGCTCTTGAACTCGATGTATATGTACGTGTTGTGTGTGCCTGTTTTCAATGTCATCCCGCACATTACCTTAGCCTAGTGGTCGACGGGGATGAGTCCAGTACGGGGGGTGGTGATAACAGCATCTTTACAACGTAACTGGGTCATCAGTGTGCTAGTTCGAATCGCGAGACTCAGGTAAAGGTCGTTTCAATTTGAAAAGTGTGATGTTCATCAATTCGTTTTCGTAAACCATGCGTCACGGATATGTCTATTACTCATTTGTTTGCACGTCTTACCAGTTATGCCGCACTGCTGTAGCACTCTTGGCCCACTGCACCCAAACAATTTAGCCCCGCTTTACAGAGAGGGCTGAAAATGGTCCCGAGTCGGACGACGGGCTGGCTGGGCCCGGCGTTGGCTCTATGCCTGACGATGAGCACAGGCGTCGAGACCATATCCAAGAATTTCGTCAACAGTTCCATGCCCGAAATGAGGCCTACATTCGTTGTCAACTTCGACATGGCCACTGTTATTTGTCAACACAGGTTTGTAGAAAAAGGTTCCGTGCGATTTTGCGTACTTCTTAGAAACTTCGACATCATATAAAAATATGATTTCTCGAACAGTCTCATATTCTTCGACTAGATTGGTATACATTCGACCCAAAAGGTAAAGAATGCTTTATATCTATTTTCACGCATAAAAAGATAGTCAGTTAGCTTAGCCAACTTATGTGATTCGATTCAAAATGGTAAAAAGCAAGCATTTTTTGTTCAGAAATAACATAGCCTGGAGATTCAAAGATTCTGAAATATGTGATTTGATGCTTGACATTTGCCGTAAATTTCCCATACAAAACTCATGGAATGAGATCGATGAACTTCTTTTATACAAAAAATTATGGAGACATATACGCAAGTAATTCACGGACGTTAAACAGATTCTGGATGCAAGTTTTGAATTTAGAGGTTTTTTCCCAAAATTGCCACTCATAGAATTCTATATTTCTGTTTTTTTTTTCTGAAAGCTTGATCTTCAAAAAAGAAATTTTTTCCTCGAGAAAAGCATTAATTACTAACTTCATATATTTTTGGAAAACTAACAATCCACTACATCTGACTAATCTCGTGATTAGACTATAACGCCATAACATCTACCGTGCCCGGATCAATTTATTGATCGATTGCTTTAGCTACATATAAGCTCAAAGCTTTATTTTCGATGAAAGCAAAAGCATAGAGTTTAACGAATGGTTATCCATCTGAAGGTCAGTACTGTAGAGATGTCAATTAATCAATCAATCACTCTTCTTTCGCAAAATAGGGAAGTACAGGCAATGTGTATGTGTGCTAACGGGTGTTCGCTGGAAACTGTTCAAAAAAGTCCACGATGTTTATCAATTTTCGGTGCTGGTGTAAAATGTCCTACTTTTAGCGCTGACTCAACCGATCTGCACTTGCATGAAATCAGTGTGCTTTGTGACGGAAAAGACGATTGCTATCAAAATCCAGCTATGCACGACGAAAGTTTTCCGTATTGTGGTAAGTTTCATAAATATATGAGAGAAGATCGTATAAAAAATGAGAAGATTTGTAACTCCGCTGAAATTTCGGTGCCTGGGGAGAATAAGGTTTTGACAAATGTATAAATTTGTTCTAGCGGGACCACCCTAGGTGGCAGCGAAAATGGCAAAAAGGCGGCAGTCAAATTTGAAGAGAGCTGGGTGAAGGGGGGGGGGTATGATGAATTATCCACATATGTGTACTCTTATGCACAGAGCATTGGGAGTTGATTTCTTTTCTCGCACTATTTGCACAAAATATACGCCCTAATTTCTCTGGTGGTTCGTTCAAGAGTTTGTGCCATTTGTAGAGCTGGCTTTAACTCAAATTTACAGTATAGAAAGAATCACCGATCGCTCTTCGTCACTGTAGGATACGCTAAAAACTTCATGTATGTGGTGACATTATGAAAAAATTGCCGTTTCAAAATTTAAAAAAAAGTGAATATTCGTGTAATAGAGTTTTCCTGAACACTGAGTTGAATACTCAGTTGTGTAGAAGATTGCGAAGCTTTCTAAATGGTGTAACCGCCCTTTTTAGGGACATTAAAAACAGCCGCTACTGCCTACCTCTAACTCTGCATGACTTTCAGATAACACATCATGATAAGTTGCAAGCTTCACATTTGGAATCAGCAATTCTAATTAGCCCAGTGTGAAACTTTTCAGGCTGCTTTATTTCCTTTCTGAGGCAAAATAGACCTTTAGTGGCTCAAAACTCCCTTTAAAATTTCTATATATATATGTATATATATATATATATAGACAAGTGTCTGTGAAAATTACCCATATTGTCTCGAGACTTCACCTCACCCATCATCGCCGACACCACCCCGCATAGGAAGGCGACCCTCTCCCCCCCCCTCTCCCCCCCCCCCCCCAACGCGTACTTCGTAATTGTCTGAGTAGATTACTCGGTAACATCGTTGACTAATTACCATGGGCTAACTGAGTAACTCAGGGTCAAGAGGCAAATTTTCTCATTTTGTAGACGAGGAAAAGTGCGAAAACGGGAACTGTGGGCTAGTGGAACGTTATTGAGACGAAATTGACCAAAAGTCCACGCTTGAAGACCTCGAGGACACATTTTTTTTCAATTTTTTGCTGGGACTGAATTCATATTTTTTTAAGAATATTGTGGACAACTATTTTTCATTGGTCTTCATTAACATCCTGACGCATCATGTTGTGAAAAAATTGAAACGGGTCCGATGGTACTACAGATAATGATGTGCATGAACATGAGTCACGATTCACAAAAATATTTGGAACAAAATATGATTCAAAATACAAAATCAAGATTGAACCCAGACAGAAGTTTGAATGACCCCTTTTCCGCTTATAAAGGTGATCACTTTCACTCTTAACTGCTTATACCAACTTGAAAAAAAAGGTTTCTTCGGTTGTGAAACTTATATTCTACTAGCTTGCTTACCCGACTCCGCCCGGCACTGTCAAAACACTTTGATAAAGGTCCTACCTACCCTTGTACAACCTTTCCCATACTACATGCCAATCCTCTATTCCCACTGTGTAAGATCAGCATGCTCACTCACCCCCCCCCCCGTGTGCCAACTCCCAGCCTCGTAGCTCGAATTTTGCAAAAAAAATCGATTAAACCGATAAAAGTAATGGATAATTTCAAAGACTAATATTGTATTCGTAATCAGCATGCTCGATTACCTACTTGTGCCAACTCCCAGCTCCGTAGCTCAAACTTTGCAAAAAGATAAAAATCGATAAATTCGATATGGATCGATGACAAAAAGTGGCCTATGACACCCGCCCCACCCCGAAGTGTATGTGTGCCAAGTTTGGTCCGGATCGGAAATGGAGATGGGAAGAGGGGGGGGGGGGGGGAGCAAATGAGTTTCACAATAGAGAATTTTGTACTTTCGCATTCATTTATTTGTATATGGTTCTTGGTGTATTAGTCGTTTTTACGCAGTCTTGGTCTCAGAAGTCTTTCACGACGATTTTCTATGTCCTTTGACCGCAGCATATGATTTTTTGTACTGCTCTCAAGAAGTCAAACTTTTTGCACCGAAAAATGTCTTTCCTTCGGATATGAATCACACTCTAGTTTCTAGGGTAAAAAGAAACGAAGGCTGCGAAATTTTTGATATAAAATCGTTTTTTGCGATCAGTTTCTGTTCTTCTTGCTTTGAATTTCTATCTTCAAATTTGAGAAGACATTACAGGAGAGGAGCTCATTAAAAATAAAAAAATAATGCTAACTTTCCAAGATTTTTTGAGGGGAAAAACTTTCAAAGTCACCTACAGTCATAAAAGGTAAGTCATGAAACTGTGCAAGTAACTCATTTCTATTTGTGAACGATTACAATAATCTTCTTTTACAATTTCAAATAATGTGAAAAAATTTTCATTTCAAAATCTGGAGTCATGATGCTGCAATTACTTTGAAAGCGTTCCAATATTCTCTCTCCACCGCCTCCCTTTGAAAAAACCTCTAGGATCGCCATTGTAAGTAAGTCGATTCCCGTTATTCCTTTGAGATATTACGTAATCACGAGAATCACACCACAAATCATCACTAGCATCACCATGTGATCCGTACCGATCGTTAAAAACGCTTCCTTTCTCCATATATAGCACGAAGACAGCGTTACTGGCCATAACCCAGTTACCGCATCTCTCGTTTTGAGAACATTTTAAAGCTACTTGGTATACGCAGATACTCTTATATACTCAAACGCACATACAAGCAACAAATTGATCCGATATTTTTGGCTAGTAGCGCTAGTCAGGTGAACGCTACCTATGACTCTCGCGGGGGGGGGGGAGTGTGCAATTGGATGGGGATCAAATACGGGTCATATACGTTTAGTGGGACATTTCACAGATTAGATTGGGCGGTTGGAGTTGGATATCAGGGCGAGAATGGATAGATAGTACGTGAAAATTGGATTTAAAAAATGCTTTCATCATGAAAGATATTCCTAGGAGAAAATTCCTAGGAGAAACGGGCACTTGTGGACCGCTTGCCCATAGCAGCCGTTAATGAGCGGCTGTGATTGGTCAGCGCTGCGACAGTAATTGGTTAAGTAAGAGCCGGATTGCCATCAGGAACATAGACTGTCAGATAGCTGAAAATCTCCAGAAAAAAAATCACCTCCTATTTCACAAAGGAAAGTCGCAAAAAAGGGCTATTTACAAAATAGCCGAATTTCAAACTCGCAAACTCACAACTCGCACGATTTTCTGAAATTCCTGCATTGGTGAACACTTACAGCAAATTGTTTGTTTTTTCTTTCAAAATTACCTCTACCATAAGTGAAGAAAACATCTGTCATTCCTCAGAGCGGAAGTGCAACTCAACGTGTAACGATCGAGGAGCATGTCTATATGATGGCGAAAAACCACAATGTTACTGTAATTCGGGATTCTCAGGGCCTACATGCGAAATCGTTGGTAAGTTGGCTGATCAAATAAATTACTATAATTTCAATTCTTCAGAAATCTGGCACAACTTAAGAAATTCGAATTCTCCTATCAAAAACTTTTTAGAAAAAATTTCATAGAGAACAAACCGCAGGAGAACATTAAGTGCCAGCAGTATAGGCGTAGTATTCAAATAAATCCCGGAATTCTTCATGGCGTCGCAACGTATCTCCAAGTCTTTGAAACTGGACGGAAAAAACTTCAATGAAACTTCTTCGGACAGACATTTGTTGGCCTAGCCCGACAGGGAACTGAATTACCACAGAAAATCAAAATTGAGTACGTTGATTCAGACAAAAATGAATGCCAAGACAAGCCCTGCCATTGGTTGGCGCATTGCCAAAACACAGTCGGCTCCTACGAATGTGCTTGCTTTCCCGGATTCCATGGAGATGGTTACCAATGTGCGGGTAAGCAGATCATTCATTCGCTCGAATTTTCTCCGGGCAATTATTCTTATTCTCTACCAATTCTTTCGGGCAAACTCCTAGAATGTGAGCATGTTCTGTTTGTGCAAAATTTATGTATGTCTCGACATATCGCCAACACAGATTTGGCAATAGCCTTGGCGGCTAACGTCAACACACTTAACTGGCCAAAGCGGCTGAGGACAAAAAATCTCAAGTGGGGACCATTGTTGCGCTTCGATTGCACTAATCAACGAGGGTTGCGAGGGTCTAAGGTCAAATTCCTTTTCAATGTGCTGTGCACCACATGTCTTGACACTCTAACCGAGAGTTTAGGGCAATTGCCGAGGGTAGGCTAGTGAAATAAATGTAAGCATTAGTCGTTGGTGCCTGAGGAGTTCTTGGTGAAAAGACATATGTAGACAAGCCCCGCATTGACTGAACAAAAGACTAGTTAACAAAAGTTTACAACAAGTTAAAGAACTTTGATTTTAAGAACTCTCAGGGTAGAGGAGTACGGGAAAATTGGGAAAGAGACAGGAGATTATTCTTTGGTGAATTTATATTCAACAAAACGATGCTACTACTGATACTTAGGGTTCTCTTGATCTTGTTTATACAGATTTTAAATTTACTCAAAATTTGCGCATCAGTAATAAAGTACCTATAGAAAAATTTCACGGAAAAAGGCTTTTGAAAATCTCTTAACAGTGGAAAGCGTGACTGTGCTCTTGTATGATTTCATATTTTTTATGTCTTGCCAAATACATAAGCCCTGTTGAGTATGTCAAACCTATGCCACATCCAATTTTGCCTAAGGCCCGCCCTTCTTTGGCTACATATGATTGAGTTGTTCTTTTTGTATTGCTTTGACCACAAAAATCAAAAAAATTTAAAAAGTGTTGTCTCTTTTCATAAACCTACACATACTTGCATCTCTCATGACTCATGCTAACATTTAAATTCGGTTCGAGCATCGCTCTAACCTTGGATTCTCGGTCAGGTGTTCGACCTTTATCCTCAATTACCTGTACTATAAGTGCTGTCTAAGATGTTTTGTTTGAACTTTGCCTGTTTTTTTTTCAAAACGAAGGACGTGGGACCATACTCGGCTGTATTGCTATAACTTTAAAACTGTTTTGCAAAACGATTAGTATTGGTTTTGCAAAAGAACTTTTCTAAGATCGCCGCCATGTAGCCTTCTTTGGCGGCAATTTCCTGTCGCCAACGTTTCTAATGAGGCCCAGATGCTAAAAAAGGCCGGTTGGTACCTGCCGGAAAAAAGTTTTGGTCTGAGAATGCGAACCATAGTGCGGCGGAAGAAGCTCTAGTTAAGGTGCGAGAAAGTCCCGCAAATGTTGAGCAATGTACATAATTGTTGCTCTCGTCTACTCATTCTCATATTTAATACGAGAAAACTGCCAAAAAAATAGGGAACTGATGAACGAGACAGTTAGCAACGCTCGATTGTCCGGGTGCGGTAAAAACTTACCGAAAAGCCGGAAAACTCTTTCGATTTGCAGATATCGACGAGTGCTCCATGAGCAGTTATAGCTGCCCGGAAAACTCAGTTTGCGTCAATCTACCCGGAACATATTTTTGTAATTGTACGGAAGGATTTGCTCCCAAGGTAACGAAGATCACCTTTGTCGTCCATGTGCATTCTGTGGATATCCATTGCATTGCGAAAAATTCCAGGGCCTTCCACTTGAGAAATGTGCTGATATCAATGAATGCGAAATGAATCTTCACAATTGCGGAGCTAGTCAAATGTGCCAGAATACGGTGAGAGTGATGCTTATTTTGGCGTTGAAGCCAAGGGCGCATCATAAATCAACTTTTATCGATTTCACTTTATTGATTGCTTGACTTGAGTGGAATAGAACGCTTAAGCTAATGCGATTACGAGATTTTTTGCCGATCGAACGCGACAGACTTAGCCTGGTTTTCGCGACTCATGTACCACAGAGAAACCTAATGCTATGTTGAGTAAAGGGGCGGAATCGTAGTCATTTTCACGATCTAAATATAAATTCTATCGATTCATCCCCAGGTTGGTGGATTCACTTGTGTGGATCGTTGTTCGGAAGGTTATCAATACGTTGACGGAGAATGTGTGGATGTTGACGAATGTCGTCAAGATGGTATTTGCGATCGTCGAGCTGAGTGTATCAACACCCCAGGTGGATATGAATGCAAATGTGATGCTGGATTGACTGGAGATGGAAAACATTGCACACGTAAGCGGCGATTTAGTTGTTGATTTTATCGATTTTTTTTTGCAATTCACTCATTTTAGCTATTACGGACTGTAGTCAACAAGAAGATATATGCGATCGTCATGCATTCTGTATAAAGTCGCTGAAGCTGTGTATCTGTCAGACCGGTTATGTTGGCGACGGAATCACTTGTAATGGTGGGTGAAGATTGAATCAAAGGTCAACTTCTACCGTAACTGCTGTTAAAAATTTTTTTTGAAATCTTATGAAGTATAGGAACCTAAAAAGGTAAAATAGTAAAGAGTAAATCCTTCAACTATCTAAATTACGATTACGATTCAATTACGCGTATAAATGCACAAAAATGAGAGAGATACGGTGAGATAAGTTGAGATCCCTTTAATCTAAACGGACTAAGATTGAGATACGTTAACAATTATGGTAGCAACCAACCTAGAAAATCAAAAAAATTAAGAGTTCTGGAGGTTGGGGATTCCTCTTCGATGCTCATACAGGGTATAATTGTAGGACTCAAACCCGCTCGTACAATATATGTTAGCCATTAGTGTAGTTAATTGCCCAAAAACATTTGGAATATGCGAATCAACTAAGGCTCAGAACTTCTTATTTATCCTTAATTTGCGCGATGACACATCCCAATCTTAAAACGCTTTAGAGCATCTTACTCAATAAGGTTCCTCAAATTCCTACGTCCATGACCGAGCGATCACATTGATGAGATAATTTGCACTAGGCAAAGATTGCGAAAAGCGATTATACCAGCGACTTGTAAGAGATTGTACATTGCAATCAAGCTAACCCTGGTGTCCTATAAAAAGTTCATATCGGGTAAGGTTACATGCAGATTAGGAACGGCTTTACATCGAAAGAAGGCTAAGAAGAATTCGCGCTGTGCAAACATAAAAACAGACGGGAAATGTGTGTTCTTTCTGATTTATGTGTTTGTTTGTTGTTAATTTCTGCTTCTCAAAGGTGAGCATAAGTATTTATAATGATTCGCACTGGAAGAAAAGAAGGGTTTGCCTCAATATGACATTGATGATTTTTGATTCTTGGTAGAATATCTAGAAAGAGTAAGGTTTGCCCTTTCTGAATCGTATTTTCCCAAGCAGATTCACAGAGTCTGGACGAAATTATGAAATTTTGAAAAGCTTTGGTGCAAGACTGTCCCAACCTATCAAATTTGTTAGATGTTACTTACATTTCGTTGTGTACATTACGTTTTCTGGAATTTGTTGAAGCGAAATAAGAGATTTTCTTTGCAGACGTGAACGAATGTGCTTCGATGGAAAATCCTTGCGAAAATCAAGAAGGAAATCGTTGTGTGAACATCAAAGGCGGTTATATTTGTTGCGATAAGGATGTTGATGATGATAGATGCATTCGAGGTAACAACAACCCTTTTCTTTGTTGCGAGTTTTCATTTATAATTTATCCACTCTAGACAAAGGTGCATTCTGTGCTGGAGGTTGCGGTCTGCATGCCGTATGCTTCAATCAAACTTGCCAATGTATGGAAGGCTTCGTGGGAAATCCTCATACTCGATGCATAGGTGGGAGGCTTTTTCCCATTGTCTTCCAAAACAACTCACAAGAGGGGTCACGATGCCCAAGTGGCCGATCACCGCAAACTGCAGGCTTAGTGAGAGCTTGGAATGCTAATTAGATATCCGCTGTCCCTATCTGCGGAGCGCCTTCGGGAAAGAAGTTATGAACATTTTTAAGGTGAAAAAATGAGTTAATAGCTAGGATAGAATCAATCGTAACAGCCCTGCTAGACCTCAAATAAAGCAGCGGCAAGTATCAAGATACTCCATACGAACTCCTTTTGTCTAGTAAATCCTATCAGTACTTTCTATTTCTTTACTCTACATCTATAAAGGCCATAACTATTGATTTTATGCCTGCCGTTAGTTCATTATTTCGCCCAAAAAATGCTCATAACTTCTTCCCAAAGCACTCTACAGATACGGAAAGCGAATTTGGAAACACCGTTGCAAGCTCTCACAACGGTTTGCAGTTTGTAGCGATCGGCCACTTCGAGTTCGTGATCCTCCCTTGTCAGGCCTTTCCCATACGTGTTTTTTGAAGATGTCAATGAATGCGAATCGAATGATATGTGCGCTGGTGTGGGACAATGGTGTGTCAACAAAATGGGCGGTCATATTTGTTGTTCATCAGATAGCAAAGAGCCGGAATGTCAGGTAATCCTACAAAGAGTGTTTTTCTTTTCATGGGAAATGGGAGACATCAGGACTCATATCCACGAAAGTCCATAATGGAGGAAAATGGACTTACTTAGTCCATTTTATTCGTTCGCGTTAGAAAGTGGTCGAAATCGGCTCTCGCTTGCGATATCCAAAATTTTCCATCCCATCGTAGCCGCGAGGCAAAGCGGCGAAATGAAAATGATTCAACCTTACTTCAGCTATCGCTCGCGGATGATGACGTCAAAAGTCCATTTTAAAATGGGGCAAAATGGAGTTCACCTACATGTTCATTCTCTCTTACTTTTCTGATAAGCCCAATTTACTCCCAGCAGCCAGATGTGCTGGGACTAAGCCCATTTTTGACCTTTTTCCCCATTTTGGACTCCAATTTTTTGCGAGTGTGTTTTTTGGTCTATTTTAGGGTTATGTACCAAAGGAAAAAGTTAAAGCTTTTTTTGTAAGAGCTTGAAAATGAACTTTTTTAAGAGATGCATAGAACACATGGAAATTTTAAAATAAGCTTTGGTTTTAAGGTATTTTATATATTCTTGCTTATCTGCTCGAAAATAGCCCATAGGAGGTCCTCAAAATGAAAACGACTTTTCGTATAAAATAGAGAAATAACAGTTGGTTAACCTACGTGAGAAAGCGCAGCTATATATGCTCATACATGTTTTCCAATCTTTAGTAACACCTTATATACACACAAAGTTATTACAGGTAACACTGGAATTTTTTTCAGCAAAGCTGTTTTTGACTAGCTTTTTCCGTTTCAAGAGTGAAATTCCTCATTAATTCATTCTAAAAGCTGTATCTCAGGTCATGAAGTACGATCTCCTCCGCCTTTATAGCGCCTTCATTTCTCGACTCTTTGCCAAGATACTTTTCATTTTCATTAACCTCGCAAGCTGCAAATATATTCAACAATGACCAATAAAAGAGATTTGAATCTATACCCCTGAGCCTACTCTGATACTACTAACGGCGTCATCGTTGTTACAGTGTGATCCATTACTTTCCTATTTTACTCGCAGCAATGAGGTGAAGTGGCCTAAGCCCATTTTTGACATTTTGCACATTTTTGATTACGATTTTTATAGGAGGTTTTCCATAGCCCACTTTAGGATGATAGGTAAACGGATAAGGTCTGACTGCTAGAAGGCCTGAAATAGGTGTTCAATCCAAACTTAACAAAACACTTCAAAAATCATGGAGAAGGGTTGCATTTATTTATTTATCCGAACAAAGTTAATCAAGTCAATGCGAATGCAATTTAAAAAATTCGCTTGAATTCTAAATCATCAAATCCTAAAATAAATTCTGAAAAAAATCCTAATTGCTTGTAATATGAAAAGAGGAGGTTTGTGATTTACGATAATTATACAGATGCTATTTATCGTTGACATCTCGGAAAAGGGCTTCAAAGACGGCGCTTCAGAATTCGGAATTTTGGTTTGAATGCAAGAGTTATTGGGGTGCCGCTAGCTGACTGTAATGAATCTGTAGAGAACTGACAGATAGATATAAAGAGATAGATATAACGAAAAGATTTGGATATGCTGAAACATTAGTGCTGAAAGAAAAAAAAGCTGAAGTAGTACATTTGCGAAGTCATCTTTTGCAAATTCGTAGTTTTTCCAATTCAGAAAACTCTTTGGGTTGTAGTGCAGTGCAAGTTTTCCTATGAGATTAGCATTTTGAATCACAGATTGCAGTGCGAGTCCAGCCAAAGTTTGCTCTCTGCGGAAAGCTCTACATACGAATTTGATCCAATGCAGTTTCATAGAATTCTTGAAAAGCGAAGGCTCGGATTTTACATGAATTTTAGTTTTGGGAGTAATTTAGATGCATAGTCATCGATAATAAATGACATTTTATGGGGTGTAACGAAGTAAGAAAGAATAGAATATCAACGTATTTGATATTGTAATGTTAGGTCAGCTTAGTCAGATATCGACCACTTGACGAAGATGAGTTTGCAAGAGTGAGCAAGCAGGTTGAGACAAGTTGAAGAAAGGTTTGTTGAAGCATTTTTGTATGGAATAAATGATTTCGCGGAAGCGATGTCTTATCGCACCGCATGGACTAAGTCCATTTTATTCGCATTTCATTTGCGAAAAGCCCATTTTTAAATGGACTTTCGTGGATATCATTCCAGGTCTGATTTCGTGAGCTTGTGAAGCTTCAAAAAATCGCCTAAAAAGACAAGTTGCTTCAGCTTGATAATCAAATCTGCTCATGTGAAAGATCACTATCAACAGCTTTTTTCGACTTTCTTTTTCGAGTTTGTGTTTTCAGGGCGTTCACATCTTCAAAACGAACGATGGCGAAGTTATGCTGAAGTACAACGAAACAGGAGACGGACTATTCGTTCAACATCACGCCAGCTCTTCAGCCCGAAACATCTCGGGTGGCACTTTCATAACCAAGCAAGGATTCCTCAAAGGCGAAGGATTATTCCCTAGCGTAAACGTAAACAGGAAAAATGGTAAAGACACCTCTAACTATCCTCATCCCCTTTTCTTCAAAAAATTGATTTTGCAGAACTAATGTGCACTTCTTACTGTCCGGGACACTCAGAATGTGTGGATGGTGTGTGCCGTTGTGTTAAAGGTTTTGGCGGAAATCCCTTATTTGGATGCGAAGGTAATTCCAGTATTTTCTGCGTGCTATTCGGCTAACTCCCACATCATTCTTCCAGATATTGATGAATGTGTAACGAACAATCCATGCCCGAATGATAAAGACACATGGTGTGTTAATACAATTGGTAGCTATCACTGCTGCACACCAGAAAGCACGGATACAGACTGCATAGGTATATACTATCGATTTGGGAACTCCGCCCATTCGTTCAACCTTTGCTATTTCCCAGCCATGATTTGTCAAATCAAATAAGTAAATTTTCTATTTTTGTAGCACTCATAATAGAGAAGAGTTTGGGGATGCAAACGACTTGTACTTCCCCTCCCCCCTCGCCTCAAGAATGTCTTCTCACCAAATCCTTATTGGTTCATTCTCTTGGAATAATAGTAATAATGCCCCTCTTACAGGACTCGAAATCGCTTCAGGACCAAGTGGTGGCTTGCGATTGACGGGTGGAGGTGCTCATCGAGAAGCCTTCTTAGCGGCCACTTTGAACGAGAGCTTCTCCGGCGAGACTCTCTCTCAGAGTATCCATGAAGTGCGTTGATTCTACCTTGTATTGGTCTAGCAAAAAATTTCAAAGCTCAATGAGGATTTCCAGGTCCACAATTTCTCAGCTGGCGAGGTGCTTGTCGTCAAAAACAAGGTGAAGACGAATGTTTTTGAGATGAAACCAGTGGAAGGAGAAGTTGGTTTGGAAATTGTTGCCGATAGAGGTGATAAGCAAGGCGAGTCATTTTTTCACCAGGTAACCTCAAAGTGGTTTGGATGACATATATAAATTTCCAGGAGTAGATGTACCTCCTATTCCGCCATCGAAATCATTTGGTTTGGATTTGACTACCTTGGCACCAGTTTTGACGGTAACACTACCTGGTGTAATTTCCACACTAGGAGGTGCTTCAGCTGTCACGACGTCTATCCCAATCACAGAAATCCCAGTGCATACGTTTGCAACAGAGGCGCCAGTAAGTCCACCTGGCACCTGTTTCCAAGAAATTCTCGGTTAACTGCATAGTTTCCAGGTTCCAATAAAAAATGCCACATCTGCGACCTTCTCTCATGCAACTGACAGTCATGGAATCGCCATTTCTGGAGAAAAACTCGGGGAAAGCACTAGCACTGTGGCCTCCTTCACATCGCATGAGTCCTCAGGTGAAGAGCTGAAAACTCCCTTTGGCACTGGAGATTTCACGGATCGACCGGACATTCGAACCCTGGCCAGATCAGGATCTTCACATGAAGATGATGACCTTATCGCGCAAAATACCACGTATTCTGCATTCACAGATATAATCGGTGAAGTGCAACTGACTGCTGAGGAGAAAGTAACTCCTAGGACAGGTGTGAAATATTCTTATACTGATGAGGGCAGCGGAAATGACACTGCAGGAACGGGAACGACTCTTTCTGGGAGCTCTAGCGAGGAAGACATCACGAAACTGTTGGAAACAACTTCTGGTGATGGTAAAAGCAAGCCAGGAACTGATTCAATATCTTTCGGAACTCCGAAAGCGGAAGGTACCAAGGTGATAGCGATTACTGGGACTTCTGAGGAGGCAGCCCAGCGCAGAACAGCACAATTCGGTACCACTCCTCTTGGAAGTAGGGAGGCCAGTAAGGAACCAAAGAATGGTGACTACTCTACTACTGAGGGCCCAGCAAGAGCTAGTAAAGGCATTACAGGAACAACTGAGATTCTCTCATCTGAAAGCACTGGTAAAAGCTCGAAACCTATTACCGGTTCGACAAACGAAGTAGGTGGTACCCATAAAGAAACCAAAGTGTTGAGTTCGACATCCGCTGGAACCTCGGGAAGCACATCCGTTGGGTCAACAAAGTCTACATCATCTGAAAGCGCTGAAACCATAGCTGCAGCCGCCAGACTGTCAACGACCACTGGATCTACGACTGTCAGAACCATCGCTGAAGACGAAGTCTTGACAACCTTGATTGAGACTTCTCCAGGAGCAGGAGACAGTGGAGCAAAAGCAACAGCAACATCAACACGCGGAAGCTCAGAGAAAGAAAAGACTCGAACACCTTTAACAGCAACTACTGAAGAATCATCCAGTTTTACCGAAACCCCCACAGCTGGAGAGAAAGCAGAGCCGAAATTGGAAAAATCATTAAAGGCAAAGCCTAGCCTCGAAAATCCATCAGACCATGAAGAGGGATTGGAAATTTCCCTCGCCCCTACCGGAAAATCCACAATCTCAAAACAATCACAGAAAACTGGTTCAACAAGCGCAGAAGGTGAGAGCTCTGGAGAAGATCTGAAGGATAAAGGCAAGGCAGATAAGAACAGCATCGTTGTCAACGTGTCCACAGTATCGGGAGCTCCCAATGAAAGCGCGGAAACCGGTCCCTTAATAGGAGCTGAAATTGTGCAGTTTGAAAAGGGAGAATTCGGCAGCATCAGTTCTGGTCGCGCTAGATCACCTGGAGGACCAAAAATTACTGACGGCACTGTCTTAAAGGCACTCTCGGGCACACAAGGGTCTGGACCATCCCTTTTAGAAGCCTCAGTCACGAAAGGACCTATTGATGGCGACGAAGTTGGGTTGGAGATTGTACATCATGGCGGTACCGCTTCACCCGAAGTGGGACTAGAGATTGGCCCTGTAAGACCCAGAGTCACATCGAAGCCCGGAAAACCAGACATCATTACGGACGGAGAACCAAGTGGCAGCCAAGAGATAATCGATGGTGTAGCACCCAAAGGCACTACGAAGGCCCCAGCTAGTGGATACAGTGGAGTTAGCGAAGGTTCTGGTGAAATCACACCTAGCGAAAGTGCAGCAGAATTTACCCGTGTCCCAACTTCACCTGTAACAGGAGCATTGGAAACATCTGGAGAGCCAAGCACTTCTTCTGACCTTATCACTACTGAACAGCCTGATTTGGTCCTGTCTATGGGCGCACCCCAAAAGAATGACTCCACTGGTACAACACCCACAGCAGAACAAGCCGGTATCACTACAGAGAGTACAGATCGCGTTCTCTCGACTACAACCAGAGAGGAAGAAGTCAGTGTCACCACAGAGCAACCTGATCTCGTTTTATCGATGGGAACGAGGGTGGAAACACGTACAACAGCTATTACGAAGGAAAGCGAATCAAGCTCAGGGGGAACGAAATCGACAACAGCTAAAATCCAGGGAACGACGGGTACTGCCACCACCCCGAGCACGACCTCGACTCAAGGAACCTCCACTCCGGAAATGTCCGCTACTTCTAGCGGTATGTAAAAAATTCAAATCAAGAAAACTATCACAGAAAGTTAAAATTTCAGATGCTCCCAAAATAGATATTGACGATACTGAGGGATCTGGAGTAGAAAGAGACGAACAACCAAGAAAAGAAAAACCCACAAAAGGTAAATTTATTTGGAACTGCTAGAATGTTCGTCCACTCTTCCAAAGTACTGCAGCAACACTTTTCCGCGCTGGTAAGCTGTAGAGAGGAGCCAATTTCGGTAGCCGCAGCTATCACGACTTCTAATACAAATTTTCACCACTCTCAATTTCTATCATTCAGCAATGTCAACGATTAGAAAAGGATCAGCAAGCCCTATGACGGAGGAACCCACGACAATCAAAGAAAGTACAGTTGATAAGGTATAAAAAAATTAATCACTTCAACTCAGTCAATTTTTCTATCACATAGCCTGATTAACTACTAATCTCTGCGATAAAGATACTAATACCAAATTTCTCATTAAAAACTAATTTATGCCAGCAATTAACCCTATCTTAGGTCACATCTACTACAAGTGTGGAGCCAGCCAGCACATCTACTCCCACTACTTCATCATCCAGCACTGCTTCATCTGTCAAGACTAGTCCTACTCTAAACCCTATTCCCTCGAAAAAATCTCCATCAATCTCGTCCACTTCTTCACTACCAGCGCTAACCACCACATCGGCTGCTCCAACGGTTACCGAAACTCCCGAAATCGAAAGAAAGGATATTGTTGGTCTAGGTGCAGAACGAGCACCAAAGGACACAACTTTTGGTCCTTCGACTAGGCCAGAAGGAGAGTCAGCAGAAGCAAATGTGACAACTCCTACCACAATAACGGGCTCCTCCTCATCTACTCCAACGAGCAATCTCCCAAGAGATCCTGGAACCCATTCAAGCACCGGACCCCCCGAAATAACCTTCCAGCAAACCACTGCTGGGGGTGCAAAAACCACATCTGCCAAGACTCCTGGAGTTGCTTCATCTACTGCTAAAGCTACTCAGTTAACTACAGAAGCGGAAGCACTGACTTCTCCCACTGGCGGTTCAGATGTTTCTTCCGCAGTCACGGAGGCAGAACATGGCGAAAGCACTACTGCTGTCGATTTTACACCCTCATTTCGCTCTTCAACAAAATCCTCTGAAAGTGAAGCTTCAACGGAAACGGAACCTAAAAGAACTAGCATCTCGAGAGAGGCAACTTCCACGACATTAGCCACACAAGCTAAAGCCATGGATCCTTCCACCACTTTCAAACCTTCTGGAACTTCGCAAAGTGTCAGTTCCACAACTGGCAAGGCTAGTGATGGATTATCTACTACCACATTATCAACCACTGGTAAAACACATGGTTTATCACCAACTATTTCTAAGTCGTCAGAATCTCTAGAAACTACTACCTCTGAGAAGGCTGAAGAGTCTGCTATGTCGACTACTGAAGGAGTAAGAGCTCAACCCATAACCTCATCCACTTCGTCCGACGTTTCGTCCACTACTGAAGAAGCAGGTATCTCTTCAAGCCCTTCTCCTGACAGTAAGGAAGAACTCAAAAGTAAAGTGCCCACGACTCCAGCTGAGACGTCTGAGTTGACCAGCGTCAAACCAAAAGGGTCGACAACACCCGCTGGCCCTATGGGAACCTCTTTAACCACCAAATCTCCCATGAAGGAGATAGAAGGAGCCACCACAGCGCCAAAATCAACACCAATCGTATCGGGGACCGGAAAAGAGAATGTTACTGCGTCTATTTCTGAAGAACCTGTAGAAGCAACTACAGGCCCTGAAACAACGGATTTGGTAGGCTTGAGCACAGATGGAGAAAGTGAAAGTGAGAAAGCTTCCCAAGCTGAAAGCGCTACGACTACATCTAAACCATCATCTGCATCCAGTGGGATTACACCTGCTGCAAAAAGTCAGAAAGGTGCAACATCTGACAAAGAGCCAACCAGCAAAGTCCCCACAACGAGCATGACCATTGGCAAAGGGTCTACCTCTCCCGCTTCAATCTCATCAACGAAAACATCATCTGCCCTACCTGAAGTCTCAGCCATCATTTCATCATCTACAGAATCGTCCTTTGGAAGTTCTACGCAAGACAAGACACCAACCAAAACATCCCCAGCAAGATCATCAAAGACCCCAGTTTTCCCAGAAATAGCTACCAAACACCATACAGCAACCACGTTAATCATTCCCGAACTTCCAGAAGGTGTAGAACGTCACGAAGAAGTTGAAAAACTTCCAACATCCAAATCTGGAGAGATAACACCCAGTACTACTGGAAATCCTACAGCTTCTGCCTCAATCGTTTCCGAACTCCCAGAAGGAGTAGAACGTCATGAAGGAGCTGAAAAACTTCCAACAACCAAATCTAGTGAGGTAACGCCAAGTACTACTGAACATCCTACAGCTTCTGCCTCAATCGTTCCCGAACTCCCAGAAGGAGTAGAACGTCATGAAGGAGCTGAAAAACTTCCAACAACCAAATCTAGTGAGGTAACGCCAAGTACTATTGAACATCCTACAGCTTCTGCCTCAATCGTTTCCGAACTCCCAGAAGGAGTAGAACGTCATGAAGGAGCTGAAAAACTTCCAACAACCAAATCTAGTGAGGTAACGCCAAGTACTACTGAACATCCTACAGCTTCTGCCTCAATCGTTCCCGAACTCCCAGAAGGAGTAGAACGTCATGAAGGAGCTGAAAAACTTCCAACAACCAAATCTAGTGAGGTAACGCCAAGTACTACTGAACATCCTACAGCTTCTGCCTCAATCGTTTCCGAACTCCCAGAAGGAGTAGAACGTCATGAAGGAGCTGAAAAACTTCCAACAACCAAATCTAGTGAGGTAACGCCAAGTACTACTGAACATCCTACAGCTTCTGCCTCAATCGTTCCCGAACTCCCAGAAGGAGTAGAACGTCATGAAGGAGCTGAAAAACTTCCAACAACCAAATCTAGTGAGGCAACGCCAAGCACTACTGAACATCCTACAGCTTCTGCCTCAATCGTTCCCGAACTCCCAGAAGGAGTAGAACGTCATGAAGGAGCTGAAAAACTTCCAACAACCAAATCTAGTGAGGTAACGCCAAGTACTATTGAACATCCTACAGCTTCTGCCTCAATCGTTCCCGAACTCCCAGAAGATGTAGAACATCATGAAGGTGCCGAAAAGCTCCCAACATCCAAATCTGGACGTACAACCTCAAGTACTCAATCCACAATTTCTACATCAATAATTCCTGACCTTCCAGAAGAAGGAGACCGTCACAAAGGTGCCGAAAAGCCTCCGATACCCAGCTTCCAAAAAATAACACCGAGCACTACACCTCCCACAGATTCTAGCACAGTCACTCTCAACATCCCAGAAGAATTAGACCGTCATGAAGGTGCGAGGAAACTTCCGACACCTAGATCTGATCGAACAACACCGGAATCGTCGTCAACGGAACCTATTAATCTCACAACAAACGATGTTATTACCGATAAAACCCTGTCATCAACACCAAAAAATCCTGCTAATGTTACGGAGGAGACCGACGAGTCATCGCAAGAGCAGACATCAGAGGTAGGCAAAGCACCACACTGTACATTTCCCTTGTCTAACCTGATTTCTCTTTCGTTTTCACATAAATCAAAACAAGAGGCAGATCTTCTGCGCTTTCCTCACTTCGCATATTCGAAATTTACGCCAATCTTATGAAATACCTTGTCCTTACTATTACCTGCGCACTTCTTATCATCCAAGGGCAAGCTAAAAACAGCTTCAGATATTCAATTAGCTTTCTGATATTTTTGAACTTGGAAGACTTTGAATTGCTTTTCTTGAGCCAGCCATTTCAGGTTCCGACCACTAAGGACACATTTATTCTGACCACTCCTACCACGAAACCTGCAATCCAGTTGGGTCCTAGGTGAGGCCAGGTCGATGTGCTTACTGAATTTGATCGTTCCGTCCTTCATTTATCAACTCATTAACTTAGTCATCAAATCATACAATCATTCACTCTTGTGCGTTCATCCTCCTCCTCCCCCCCCCCCCCTCTCCTTTACATAACTAACTGTAGGGGGACTCAGGGCTCGGCATGAGCTGGCACCAGTAAATTTTCAAAACGAAGTCCCCCTTGACTTTTGGGAATTTTTACGAAACTCCTTTGATCCTCAACAATATCCCCTCTAAAATCCTAAAAAAACCCCCAAAAGCGAAACGTCGACTAAAACAAAGGTCGCCGTTGCCAATTTTGCGTACATCTTCGCCCACAAAAACAAAACCCCCTTTGCTTTTTCCATAAAAACGATATCTAGCTTGCCCCGTGCCATTTGGTGCCAAGCCCTGGGAGGACTTCCAACTGTGCGCACAATCTTCTTTAAATCGACCATTTCATGGAACCCTATTTTCTAGAGTCACCCAATGGAGTTCATCTCTTTCCAGCAACGTAGCTAATTTTCTAGAGGTGTAAAAAATCTAATTTCAGCAACACTACCAAATGCACCAGCGGAGACCAATGTGGTAGTGATGCCTATTGCGAGCGACGTACTGGAGCTTGTCGATGCTATCCAGGTTTCGAAGGAGCACCACCCTTGAATCCTTGCCATGGTCATCATTTATCCTTTTGCTGTTTCTTGGTTTATACAACAGTTTTTCAGATGTCGATGAATGTGCTGCCGGTCTTCATAAATGTGACGGTAGTGCCAGATGTCATAATTACGTTGGAGGTTATGCATGTTTCTGCCCTATGGGTTTCAGAAAAGATGATAATGGAAAATGTGTTGGTGGGTAGAGCAACTAAGGTATAAATGGTTAGTTTGTGTGACCAAAAACGATCAATATAGATATCAACGAATGTACCGAGTCAAATGGAGCCTGTTGTAGTACCAATGCCACCTGTATCAATAAACTTGGGTCTTACGGTTGCGTATGCAACGAAGGTATGTTTTTCTAAAGAGAGCCTACTTTTTCCTTCGCTGTCCACTTGATTTCTATTAGATTGGCTCAGAAATTCTCGTACAATTTCATTCCAGATCTGCTATTTCTCAAAACCTAATGTACATGTACATCAGATAGAGATAGTCGATAGAGCAAAGCAAGCTCTACAAGATGGTGTGCAAAAGTTCGCACCAGCTTAGACCACCGTGAGTTTGCATGCGGAATCTGATTCGTACTGAAGGCTCGAAAAATTGAGAAAAATTCATAACTTCGTTCAAATCTTACGGATCTGCAACTTGTTCACGTAAATTGCACAACAATCAGACACTCATATGTACCGTTCCTGTTTTTTCCTCTTCTGAAAATCGAGAAAGCGAAAATTTTCATGCTTATATAAAAACGAAGCCGTGTCGTCTCACCCACGTAATTGTAATACAGGCCCTTAGGTGTTCGTAAATTTTTAGCTTCTCCCAAGCCTTAGCTCTTGGAAAATATTGTTAGCTGGAACACCCGATTGAGGAGAGCTCAATTCGGTAACTTTTGAAAGCTAGGGCCTGTAGAAAGCTGAAAATTTACGTTCTTCTAAAGGCTTGCACTATACAATTACATGAGTGGGAAGAGGGTAGCTTCGTATAAGCACAAGAACTTTGGTATTTTCAATTTCTAGATGGGGGAAAAAACAGGAACGGTACATATGAGAGGCTAAGTGGTATGCAATTTGCTTTGAGCAAAAGATCCGTAAAATTGAAAAGATATAAATGTCTCCCAATTTTTCGAGCCTTCAGTACGACTTAGATTCTGGATGCAAATTCAGGGTTCGAAGCTGGTGCGAACTTTTGCATCATTCTTGTAGAACTTGCTTTGCTCTATCGAATGGTATCTCTATCGGATGTACATGCATTAGGTTTCGAGAGATGGCAGATCTCGTCTGGAAATGTCCGAGAACTTTCGAGCCAACCTAATAGATCCTTAGACTCTCTCCTCTCCGCTTCCACTGAATTTTGCCAAGAAGCTCTTCTAACCCTTTGACAACCAATTGTAGTGCAAAAACACATTTCAGGATTCTTTGGTGACGGCTACAAGTGCATGCCACTTGAAAAACGAGGATGTACTGAGGCCGAATGGGCTGTGGCCAACTGTGGCAAGAACCATATGTGTTTGGTGGACGCGAAAGGAGCCAAGGATTGTAGCGTATGCAAAATGGGATTTGAAATGGTTGATGGGGAATGTGTCGGTGAGTTTGGGAGTTTTCGAGAGGACCATATGAATTTTGAACTTGAGAACTGTGAAAACTAAGCGACTTCGCAAATTTTTTAAGAAATTTTAGGAAGGTAACTCTTGTTAAAAAAAACGTATTTACACGATGAAGACTATGATAAACAACATCCCAGATATCAATGAATGCACTGAACCTGGCCTAAACATGTGTGATAAGAATGCTGTATGTAACAACCTTATGGGAACCTATGCGTGTCAATGCAAGAAAGGGTTCCGGGGAGATGGCTACATGTGTGAAGGTAAATCTCAACCTCTTTCTTCCCCTTTCCTACCTGAGTAAGAACATTCTCACATTTCAGATGAGGATGAGTGCCTGATGTTGCCATGCCATCCCCAAGCTGAATGCAAAAACACACCCGGATCGTATGAATGCCGATGCCCACTCGGATTCGAAGGTACGGAACTCGCTGTATTACACAATCCTACTAAGGTCTATCCTTTTTTAGGGGATGGAATAAAATCATGTGTGAATCCAACGGAGCAAAGCTGCTTGGAAATGGAAAAATTCTGTGGTCGAACCAATCACACCGCATGCCTGTCTGTGAGAGTTTTTGACGGATCACTGACAAGCATTTGCGAATGTGAACCGAACTATCGTTTCAATATGGCTACTAGACAATGCGAAGGTATCTAGATACAACCGAACAACTCAAAGGCTGCTGCATGACGAAGGCGCAGAATAGCATCAGCTGAGCGGGCGCGGACGCGGCGCGCACCATGCTCACCGTTGTGAATCCTGCGCCTCATGCGCTCTGTGGCTAACAAAGCCGCGATCGCGCCCAGAGGTTTGCACCTTCGTCCTGCTGCAGCCTTTACTCATCCAGAAATCCCACTACACTGTTCACTTCCGACCACTGTCGTATCCTATCTGGTTCAGACATCGATGAATGCGCTGAAAATCGCCACAACTGCGATCCAGCATCATCCGTTTGCGTTAATGAAGATGGTGGATTTAAATGTGAATGCTTGGAGGGATACGAGGGAACCGGAGGGATCTGCGTTGGTAAGCATTGAAATATCTTCTCTTTTTTTGTAGGCAGACTTTTACACATGTTTCAGATGTCAACGAATGTGAACGTGGTATTGCTGGTTGTCATAGTATGGCAATGTGTATCAATCAGCCGGGTAGCTGTGGATGTAAATGTATTCATGGATTTACCGGTGATGGCACACAGTGCAATGGTGAGTAAAATCAATGTTTTGGGTGGGTCGCGCGCACTGCTACCGTAACATTCACGCCCATAAATGCGCGCACTCGATAACATTCGCTTGCTCTTTGATAATTTGTGTTCTGTAATGAGGAATTCCCAAAACCCATATTCATTTTCCCACAACAGAATAGTAAATTTCTGAGAGCAAGGCTGCGGTGATCTGTATTGCACCCCCACAGAAATCACAATTTAAAATTTTGGCGCTATTCCAGTATCCGGGCCCCAAAATTTTTTTGCCGTGGATTCTGTCGAAACTTGGCCCAGGGGGGTTATTCGACCCGCTGATGCCGAATATCATATTGGTTTTGTACGGTAGCGTCATTTTCTCGGGTTACGGTGGGTATACGGTAGGGGTCAAAATCACAAATCGGCAAATGTATCTTTCCCCTGTACTTTGCTTAGGCAAAAGCCGCAGCAGGGTGTGTAGCGCGCGGCGGTGGTCGTGTGTGCAAAGCTTCACGATTGTCCGAATCGCCATACACCCGCTTCAGGCAAAACTATTTTTTACACCCGTTACAGTGTAGCTACCGTAACTCGAGAAAATGACGCTATGGTTTAAAACCAATGTGATATTTGGCATCAGCTGGCCGAATACCCCCCTGGCCAAGTTTCAGCAAAATCCGTGATTTTGGCCCCCTACCGTATACCCACCGTAACCCGAGAAAATGACGCTACCGTACAAAATCAATATGATAATCGACATCAGCGGACCGAATAACCCCCCTGGGCCATGTTTCGACAGAATTCACGACAAAAAAATTTTGGGGCCCGGATACTGGAATAGCGCCAAAATTTTTAGCAATGGGACGCGAGATCGAAAATGCCTGCACCCCTGAATGGCAACGACTTTGTAAACTTGAGAACAAGACTTGCCATGTAGATGAGGAAGAAGTTCCCCAGTGTGGATCTTGTTTGGAAGGACATCAGCCTATGAACGGAACTTGCTTGCGTAAGTTTAGATTTTCCCACTAATGACAAAACCTACCCAGACGTGTAATATTCAGCCGTCCAAAAGGGTGGAAACTGCGCTGATCCCGCAAAGAATACGTGTGATATTAACGCCGAATGTATCGATGTACATCCAGGACGTCATTTCTGCACTTGCAAAATCGGATACATTGGTGATGGACTGAGATGTGACGGTAAATTCTTCATATACTAGATGAACTCTCAACCTTACAGATAAGCAGCACAAGCACTTTTTCACTTCCCACATTCAAATGCATGTTTCACTTTTTTGCATGCTTCCACTTCATCAGATATCGACGAATGCTCATTGCCCGGTGTATGTGATCCGTATGCAACGTGTCGGAACTTTGCCGGTTCTTTTGAGTGCATATGTGGCGAAGGATACACTGGCAATGGATTTCAATGTGAACCGATCACAAATGGCACTGAGAGTAAGGAGCACTGCACCTTTTTATGAACTTTAGAAATGAAACCAGTTTGCATGAGCTCAACAGTCTTCAAGTTCGTTTTACAGCTGTATACATATGTAATTGCCACACACTTTTAGCACTTACTATACCTTTTTGAAAAAGAAAATGGTTATATAGCGTAAAGTGGCCTTATTTGTTCCAAATTTGTCACCGTCTTTTGCATGGGTCACGGTTATCGTAAGATTGTGGCTGACTCACCAGCGCAGCACGTGTATGCATGCGGACAACGCGGCGTCATGCCTCTACATCTCTAACAAGGAAAGGATACTCGATGACCGTGGCCCTTTGGAATGTGATGTATACTGTAAGATGCACCTCGAAACACTCACTTCAAGTCTGTGCTCGATATCTGCGAAACGGTCTTTTGAAGGAAGTTATGAACTTTTTTCTTAGAAAATTTGCGGTGCGAATGAGCGAAAGAAAAGCAGAAACTGACTCCAGATCAGGTTGGAGTTCAATTTCATCGGTGAAAAAGAACTGAATATTTATCTAGAAGCTTTGTGAAAGCACTATAGCATTGAATCCGGTGACGGGCACGTTTCTTTAGCTTACAAATGTGATTTGAAATGTTGCCATTTCTGGAAGAATAATTGTTGGCGAACGCAAGTACTGCGATTCGATAACGCAAATCCTCCTCTACACTGTGGACATAAAATCCCTTGAAAATGTCTCAAGAATCTCTAGTTACGGGATGAATTATAACTACCGAAAAATCAGGTTTTTGCGCCTTCCAAAAGTATTAGTACGACAATTTCATTATTTGCACAAAGGTATGGTAATCACCTTAGGCTCATAAAACGCTGTTTTGTAGAGGATGATTGCAGCAATCTACCATATAAATTTTGAAATCAAAACTATGAGTAGTTTTTTGCAGCACTCATGCAAAGCTGACGCAAATACTTTTGGCGCACCCTCTGTAAATCATATTCAGCATTTGAAAAAGAAGGAAAATTTTTTGTTGATGATTTTGACCGTCCGCAGGCGCAACTTATTCATGAAAAATATCATAACTCCATTCACGTTATCGTTTCGCAGATATGGAAGACAGTTTCCGAACTATTCTTAAAAGGCGTATTTTTTGATATACAAGTCATTACGAATGGCCACGGTCACCAAGTATCCTTCCCTTGTAAATCTTTTATATCCACATGTTCTCTTCCTGACTGAAAAGCATTCAAGACGCGCGCGGCCACAAAGAACGCAACTTGTGTAATGTTTGCGACCTCCAAACCTTACTAGATAGTTCTACAATACAATCCTAGTGTATGCAAGACTGCAAAAAGTGTCCTTGTAATGTGGAAAACACAATTATATTGTTTGAGACATTGACAATGTCTTCATCACATTTTTTACCTCCTCTCTAGGTCCAAACTGTCATCTGGACACTCGCCTTTGTCATAACAATGCTAATTGTATGGCCGATGGCAAGTGCAAATGCCTACCTGGTTTTGAAGGAGATGGAATTGAGAACTGTACACGTAAGTTTTACTGGGAATTTTAATCTTCTCTCTCTAACTGATAAGTTCCAGAAATCGCCACCTCGTCTTTCCCATCAATCGGCGAATCAACAACTCCAACCACAACTACCAGCGCCATTTCCGCATCTGAATTATCAACGACGCCGAGAGGCGGCGACGTGGGAACAGGAGCAAACGAGGTTACGGAATCGACCAGTGGCGAGAGTCGAAGTGTCGCGACCACGACACCAGCGGAGAGATTGGCGGCGACCTCGCGACATGGTAAGGATGGCACCGGCACGTCGCTGATTACAGAATTTCAGAGTAGCTCCACCAAGGAGCCGAAGTCCGTCACATCACCGCACCCACACGTTGAATCCACTCTTTCAACAACTCTTTACTCATCATCCAATCTCACCACCGAAACTACACTAATTCACGGAAAAAGCACTACACATACAGCTGAATTCACAGGTATTGATCATGTCGTAACGATACTGACGAGTGGAGTGAATGTAACCGAAGATAACACGACTGATACTACTAGTAAACAACTACATCCAACATTGTCTGTCGATACTAATCAGCTAAAGGATAACCTGACAATTTACACAACGGAAAGACCTTACATCACACCGATTCTCATCGAAGTCACAAATTCACTCGTTGTGCTGCAACCGGGGACACTTCGCCCAGATGAGGTCATCACGGGTGTACCTTTTGAACACGAGATCACCGGAAAGTTAGGAGTGATCACTTCTGACGTGTTCCATAGTGGCACTACTCCACCTACATTAGAACCACCTTCTAAAGTGGGATCAACCGCAGATTTTCCAGAAGATCTGGGAGTGACGGGAAGAGGGTCCATAGTTCAAGTGACGGGTAAAGTATCAGAAAATGAAACCCTGGTATCTCTTATTAGGGGTTCCATCGTTACATCTTTGCCCGTAACCCTGTCTAGCACAACCACTTCTCCCAGCATAGTAAGTGCATCTTCCAGTTCTGTCGATTTTACTGTAGACCAAAGCAGTGAGACCTTCACCTCCCTTTCGACCCCCTCCTCAGCTATAACAAAAACTTCAGCAGAGACTGAGATAACCTTGAGTACGGAAAGTGATCACGCCACTGATGAAGTTACTACTGAAGGTGTTGAGATTATCACACTACCCAGCACGGATACAACAGACTCCTCGGTAGGGAGCACCTTATCTGAAATTTCCAATGACTCTTCAACCCAGATCACCACAAGCAGTAAGCTCTCTGCAAATTTAGAAGCGCTCAAAACTTCTGAATCCACAACGAAGGCACCTAGAGGATCAGTACTACAACTAAGTATCCAGACATCGAATGAAACCGTAAAAGAAGTCCTTGAGTCCGCTTTGCCTAATTATACTGGCTCCACACCAACACCCACAGATGCCAAAAAGACCACAGTATCATTCAACAGGAAGAACTTCACCTATGGAACTACTGGTGAGGGTATAGAACACGAAAAAACGGATGCGTTTTTCCTTTCCACTGCAACCACAGCATTCATTCCCACAGAGGAAGCAAGTGGATCGGAGGTGCCTTCGAGAACAACTGCCGAGTCAACTCTAACATTTGAAAAGAGTTACTCATCCATAACACCTTCATACAGGTCAAGCTCAAGTGGTAGAGATGCAGAGGGAGAACCAGAAAGGTCGAGTCTAACTCCTAGAATATCTTCTGAAGACTTCGGTGAAGAATCTTCAGGAGAACCCGCACTTACTTCAGCGGGAAGTAGAGAAACGCTGACCACCACTGACTCAAGACCTGATGTCAGTGGCGAAGAGTTTGTTACAAATGGCGCTACCATATATCCATACGATGGTAAAGTTACAGTCATTGGCATCATTAGAGAGGTTAATGTGTCAAAGGAAGTGCTCGCTGGTGGACGTACTGCAGAGTCTACAATAGAATCAACCGAGTCTGTGAATAATCTCGGAAGTACAGAGCCTCCTACCTCTCACAAATTTACTGCGTCCGGCAAACCTACATCAGCTTTTGCTACCTCGGCGTCTTCAAAGTCTACGAAACAGTCCGAACCTTCCTCACGGCGACCATTTATCACCTTCAAAAGTGCGCCTGAGGGGCTACGCAGTACAGACGAGCCGAGTTTTACCATCAATGAAGACACTGCCTACCCCAAAGGCAAAGGAGCAACAAGAAGCGGTGTGGGAAACTTTTCATCTTCGATGATATATTCCACCACGATTTCTGCAACGCATGAGACTACATCAGCGAAAGACACCGAAATCTTGTCCACTTCCGAAAAGATTAGAGCAGATGCCGCGAATACTGCAGAAACGAGTTTCTCTCAGGGACATACGTCCAGTCCCACCTCTAGCGATGTTACCTCCGTGACAGCGAAGCCTTGGACGCCATCAACAACACAGGCTAGTAAAACTTTGAAGCCTTCGGCAAGCAGTTCCAAGATCACTGAAGAAACCACTCAAGGCTCGATGACTACCGAAGAGGGTACAGAGTCAGAGCCAAGTAACTCTGTCACTCTAAACACTTCTACACAAAGACCACAAGCTCGAATCATAACAGGTATACCCATATCGAGAGAGGTGTTAAGTAGTGATAGACCTAGACCTTCGCATGCAACGAAACCTTGGATAATCACGGGAGTGCCCACGTCGGAAGAGTTCCTGAGCAGTGACACGCCCTCCAGCAAAAAGTCCGGAACAAAAGCTCAGCTCGTAACAGCTTCTGTAGAGGGTAGTGGAACCAGCGACAGTTCATGGTCAAAAAGACCTGGTTTTGCAAGAAAACCTTATACAAGCAGTTCCGAGGAATCTACTACGTCCACGCTCACGACAACATTCGAAGCCTCCGGAACTCTACCATGGGATGAAGAGATGACAAAGGTCTCGTCCCGGGAAGAAATCCTGATTAGCGCTGAAAACTTGACTACTTCTGGTGAAGTTACGGACTTGAGCGGAAGGAGAGTCACTATAGGAAGCGCCAATTTCACTAAGGCCGGCAAAGAAAACTTGGAAGGAATTACGGAAGAATTTTCTGGAACAGGACCCACAGCACGCACGCAACCTAAGAAGCAGACAGAGGATAGTGTAAGAGCAGTATCGTCGCAACATCTTACAATCGACAAAGAGCACATCACTCACAGTGCAGCTACTAATGACTCCAGCTCAGAAACTGATTTCACATCCCATACTGGTTCCACGTCGCCTATCTCGGATTTACACACTTTAAGCTCAGACCGGCACCGAACCACAGATCATTTCGAGCATAATGCTTACACAATCACTGCCATTACCGACGGAGTCACTCATGACATCAGTGTCTTCACACTGAACACTGTCGAAGGTATCAATCAGCTCGAGTGAAAGCACAATGCATGTCTGCAGCACACTTCTTCTTTCTATCCACTTCTAACTTTCATAGCTTACAACTCACTAACTGGAGAGCCTCCGCTAATACTAGCGTGCACTTAACCCACACCCTCTGCCAAATTTGCATGTACATAAGAAATAGCTTTGGGCTTGTATCCCCCCCCCCCAACTGTACTTGCTTTGGGGTCCACTCAACCATAAATTCTCTGCTTCTTATTTTTTCACTTCAGGCACATCATCTTCAACAACCATAAAGCCAGCAGCAGAATTGACTCAACCAGCGGACACACTATCAACTATTGAAGGTGAACTATCCAGCACCGGCACGACTTTATCACCACAGCCAACATCATCATTCAATGTGTCCTCTGTCACAAGCACAGCAATCCCATCTGAGAGTTCTAGCGTAGAAGGGAAAAGTATCACGACTATGTCATCGTCATCTGGCACTATCCTTACCACAGTAAGCCCAACAGAGAGTTTTACCGTTGAAGGCAAATCTGACACGACACCACTCACAGCGTCATCCACGAGCACTTCGGGCACTAGTTTACTCCCTACTAAGACAGCCGGTCCAGAGGAAACCGCAACAACCACGGGACAAGCAAGCACTGCACCTGCGTCCACTCAATCCAGCGGCACTGAAGGAGCAGAAGGCTCGAGTTTGAAACCAACTTTGGAAGTCGGTGCTACAAGCACTTCCACAGCGGGTGCCACCACCTTTAGTACAGGTAGCGCTGATGTTACGGGTGTCACACTGGTGTCGGCAGGAGGGTTCCGAACCAGTTCCCCTACTATGCCTTCACTGGAAATAACACCCATCTTAACAACAGGGAGTTCTGCGATGACTTCTACGAAAGGACCAATCTCACTGAACCTTATCACCATCATATCGTCTTCCGAAGTGGGAATTACTAGCACATCACCAACTTCTGAAAGTAGAGTAACTGGCACAACTTTAGAAGGAACAGGCGTTACGGGTCCTTCCTTACAGTCCACAGTCAGTTCATGGACGGGTAGCAGTGAGGAGACCACCAAAACCCCATCCGGGGTGAAACTGCCTGCCAGTTCAAATATACTGCCATCCACTCCAGAAGAAGCAAATGTTACCGGTTTCCTCTCGAAGGCCACAGTCACTTCGAAAACGGGCAGCAGTGAGAAGACGAGCACCACACCATCAGGGGTGACCGACACCAATGGATCTAGTGAATCTGCACAGACCTCAGAAGGAACAGACGTTACTAGGCCATCTTCAAAAGCCACAATAACCTCAGTGAACGATAGCAGTGAGGAGACAAGTAGAACATCGCCAGGCATTATCGACATCGCTAGATCCACTACATCGGCACAAAATTTGGAAGGAACAGAAGTTATCGGCTCCAGCACAATCACTTCACGGACGAGTAGTAGTGAAGAAACGAGTAACACACCATCAGGAGGGAATGACACCACCAGTCCCAGAACGTCGGAACAGATTCTAGAAAGAGCAGAAGTTACCAGCTCCAGCACAGTCACTACAAGGGCTGGTAGCAGTGAGGTGACGAGCAGTAAAGCGAAAGGGGTGACCGAGACTGCTAGTATAAGTACATTAGCACAGACAAGCACCGGCACATCTTCCCCAGAATTTCGAATCCCTCCCATTACTCACAGCGCCGAAGCGACAACTGCCACAAGGGAGACAATTTACACTACAGACCTGTCTCCAGGAAGTTCGATCACAGCAGAGTCTGTAAGATCCAAAGGAGCAACATCAACACCGCCGGGTACATTGGAAGTTAGCACACCTTCAACTCATACAGTTACGAATGAAACATCACAAGAAGTCCACTCTACTACTGACGCAGACACATCAAAGTTTGACACAACAGTAGAAACGACAACTTCGGTGCCTGTAACGCCTGGGGCAGAAAGCGCTACTACAGGAGCAGATGTTGAGGAGAGGACTGGCAGGACGCAGGAGAGTACTAAAATTTTCGGTCCATTTCCGTCAAGATCAACAGTTAGCACCAGTAGCTTTGCAAGCACTGATGTTACTTCAGCGGGTCCTAGAAGCACCTCCACCATTTCAGCGACAGGAATAACAAGCCCTTCAACAGCGGTCAGCACGACTATTGTCATAGAAAACGCTACTTCAGTGATAATCAGTGCCACTGATAGAACTACTACAAGTTCAGAAGCAGAAGATGCTAGTGGTTCATCTCTGTCCAAAGTTGAATTCAGTTCTACCACGAGCACAAGTCCCGGCGAAAAAAGAATCAGCAGCACAACTGAAACAAGCGCAGAGGACAAATCCACTACATTTTACCCGGAAGTGGCTCTCTCAGCCGGAACAGTCAGCGGCCAAAAACGAACTAGCGTGACGTTTGCGGTTATGGGAAGCATCGGACCATCGCCAGAAAGCGCTGTTTCTGGCACTTTTACTTCGGAAAAACGCACTACATCTGCCTCAGTCAGCCTTGAAACAGACAACACCTCAGGAGCCGTTTCATCGGAAAGCAGCACCGTGAGCACTCCTTTTTCCAAGTTTGCTGTCACAGGTCAGGGTACTACAGAAGAAGGTAGCGCCTCGTCGGGAGTGTCGATTGCAGGCACTAGCACTACCAGCACACAAACTGCAGAGGTCACTTCCAGTCGAAGTAGCTCGGAGGAGTCAAGTAGTCCACCGTCAGAAGCGACATCAGGAGGAAAACCTATCAGCACATCTGGTACAGAAGTGACAGTTTTGCCTAGTACGGACGCAAGAGTAAAAGCCACCTTGACCGAAGTAAGTGAGGGCGCCACAACACCTTTTACCAAAGAAGCAATCAGTGCAGAAACGGAAGGTTCAGGAGAGAGTAGTACTGAGACTACTGCAAAAGCTACAGGCCCCACACAATCTACTCCGAAAGAGACCACTAAATTACCTAAAGTCCCTGTTGCTACTTCATCCACCATAATCACTCAGTCAAGCGAGACGATGGATACTGACAAGACATCGCCAGCATATGGTTCTGCGACCGCATCGTCCTCCACCCTCACTTCGCGAAAGTCCGAAACACCCAGTACAATCACCCCATCCCTTTCGTCAGCAACAACATCCCCATCTCATGGTAAGCAAACTGAAACCACCACCGATTCTAGCACTGCACCAAGCACCACAACAATAACACTGCACGAGTCTTTCACGAGCACTGCACAGTCACCTGAACTTCCATCCACGTTTTTATTGCCAAAAACTTTTGAACGAGCAAAAACCACTGAGAATCCAAATATTCTAGAAGAAATTCCAGGTGTGACTGAGGGACTAAAACTCACCTCTGAGTTCGAAACAGTGAAACATTTATCAAGTACTAGTACCAGTATCACGAAAGAGACAGGGATTGTTGTGGGAATAGTTGTACCAGACGACATGGACAATCCAACAACGATAGAGTCATCCAAAGAGGGGACAAAAATTAGCTCTTCAAGTTCATCCATAGGTGATATTGGCACCAAATCAAGCACTAGTTCTTCAACAATATCGTTGTTCTCTTCAGAAAAGTTAGATCCAAGTGACATCACAACCAAAAGCTCGAATATATCAGCCTCAATGCAAAATCTAAGCACGCAAACAAGCAGTATTAGCTCCTCTTCAACCTCTGAAGAACCGAAGGATGGCTCTATGAGTACCGCAGTAACAAGAATCTTGATAGAAACCAGAGTAGCTACTTCAACAGCGTCGGTCACCAAACAAAGGACTTTTTCATTGGCGGAAACAAGCACTGGTACGGAGGATCCAACAGGGAGCACGAGTGCTCTGGAAATCTCCCCGGATGCTCCCATTCGCGAGGCGGCTTCTGACAAAACGATTGTACCAGAGCAGACCACTCCTGCTCATACAGACTCTTCAGAGCCCTCAGTTTCACCTGAAAGTGTGGATTCAGAAGTTTCCGGTTTTACCTCCACGTTAGGAGCGGAAGCTGCAACAGCCAGCAACGTACAAAGTACCACTATTACCTCATATGTCGAAGTGAATGACAGAACAACCATGACCGCTTCAACATTGCCAGAAGCTGGATCTGCATTTACCATTACTCAAGAGAGTCTACTTTCGCATGAGTCAGATTTAACCACAGAAAAATTGCAGTCTTTTCCGACAACTGTTAGCACTACAGATAAAAACACTAAGCTTTCTTCGACATTGAGCGCTTCATTCATTCCAGAAATGGAGCAAGGGTTGACTACACAAGAAACAACCGTGATGCCTTCAACCTTAACAACAGAGACTTCATCGCCGGCAGAAGCGCTGACTTGGTTTTCAGCGGCATCGACCGCTGTTGACAAAGCCAAAACCAAAGACGGGCACATAGCTACTGATACCCCGACAAGCAATTTTAGCACTATGGAGACAACTATCCCCGCTGCTCTCAGCACACATTTCCGTACATCACCGGAGCCAGGAAATGCGCTTGAGTCAGCCTCCGTTACCTCTACTGAGGGCTTAAAAACCTCAGGTGCGACTCCGGAAGGAGCAGCAGGAAGTATGGTTACGGGAGCTAGTTTTACTACCGCTTCTCAGACACTTTTCAGAACAGCATTAACCTCATCTCCCGTCACTACGGACATAAACTCAACTGAACTACCAATAACAAGTGAGCGTGAAGCCAGTGCAAAGGCAGAGTCAATTACAGAGTTTCCCGTAACGGGGACGAGCGGGTCACCAAAAGCTGAAGACAGCACAAAGATAAGCGGAAACATTAGAAGCATTTCAATGCTAGAATTTTCAAAAACAACTGTTGTAGAACAGATAACTCCTACTACATTCGAAGTAGAAGCAACACAAGGCTTTGTTGGTACTTCTGCAACCGGATTAGAAGCGCGGACAAGAAAAACTTCTGAGCCAACAGCAACCAGCACTGGAAGGGTAGACACGTCGTCTGGTTCCTCTCTCAATCTTGCAACGAAAACTTCCAAGTCAGTCGAATTTACGTTGGAGCATGAGGACGAAAAGTCGAGTTCGACAGTTGCACTACCCACAGGATCTGGCACAGCTGAGACTACACAAAGCCCCTCAGAGCCTTCTTCCGACTCTTTTGATCGCACTGAGTACGGGAGCACGTTGAGGTCCGCTGGAACTTCTACAAATCTGGCAATAGCAATCACAACGCAGCTGCCTCATGAACCTTTCACGTTAAGGTTAGAAGAAAAAGAGTCCACATCGAGTTCCAGTAGAGGTCCCGCAGCCAGAGTGACAGCATCTATACAGCAACTTACTGAGCCTACTCCATTAACCGCTGACAAGCGAAGTACGGTAGCTTTCTCTGAATCTGCTAGGGCATCGATCGAA